TAATGAACTTAAATGTAAATGTAAATAGTCAGATGTGGCTTATGGCCACCATTCCAGACAGCGCAGGTCTGGGGGCTCCATCTACCTTTCCTTTCCCCTCTCTGTTCTCTGCCATCAGTGACTGATTGTGAGCATCCCTGTGCCTAAGGACACAGTTGCGTGGAGTCCTACAGGGTGTCCTCTTAGTTGCTGAGTTTGGGCCTCAGATCTTCAGCCCTGTGTCCAGCTGCCACCTGCAGGATTTGGAGAGCAATGGGCAGAAGTCGGCCTGATCCCTGATCCCTGAGCTAGAGACTGCTGGTGCCTGGCAATGCCAAGACCACCTCATCCTCACTAGCCTCACCCCAAGGCAGCCCCTCTCCATGGCACCTGGCTAGAGAGAGAACAATCAGCGAGAATGACTCCAAGCACGTTCTCAAAACTCTTGGAGAGACCTTAGTGGAGAAGCCCTGCCTCCTGCTGGCCATTTTTTTGAAGTGAGGATGTGGTAAAGGTATGCCTGGGCCTTGCTTTCAACAGTGGCCCGGGCCTGTTTTTCAAATCGTAAATGGTGCCTTCCCTCAAGAAGCTGGACATTTTCAGAGAAGGTGGGATTTCTTTGATGTGCTCCTGCAGAGATTCTGGGTTGGCGAGCACAGGCCTAACTCTGGAGGAGTGAACTTTAGTCAAAATGAAAGTCTACCCTTTAAGCCAGTATCTCTGAAGCCTTTGTCTCTTTCAGCTCCTAGGAAGGATATAATTGAAGTCTATCAGTAGCAATGCTGCTCATGCTGAGGTTCATTCCCACCCTGCCCCCACCAGGGGAAGATTCCAGAGTTTCTGGGGGGAAAGGTCATGTGTAGTACAGAACTATCCCCTTTAAACTTCCAGTTATGATGGCAGATGCATCACACACTGGAGTTCCTACACTCTCACACTCCAAAACATACGAAGGCAGAATAAAGTATTTTTAAAACACAGAGCTAACTCAAAATCAAGAAAATCACCAGGGGCCAGTAGTGGAGTGGGAATAGATACTGCATAGCCCACAGGGCCTGAGAATTACCCCAGGCATAGGGACTGTGGTCTTAGGCCCCACAAAGGTACAGGAGATAGGCCTCACAGACGACTGAGAGCTAGAACTGGGCTCTGTGGGAAACCAGAGGCCAGGAGTGAGGGGCTTGACACAGACCACAAAGTTCCTGTCCACCAGGACAGGGTTGGTGCTGGGGAGAGAGCAGCCCTCCTCAGGCTGTGGGTAGAAATTAGGACCCTGAGCCTACTACTTGTGGGAAGGTGGGGACATAGTTTACACTTTCCTCATAGTACAGACACACCCAAGTTGAGAAACGTAAATCTTGCTTTCAGTTTTCCCACTCTTAAAATTGAGATAATAGCAGTACCTATACCACTGGGTTGTCATGGTTAAATGAGCTTTATCCCATGTAAAACACCTAGAATAATCCTGGGACATAGTAAGAGCTCAGTAAATACCAGATGTTTATTATAGCACGTGGCACTCTGCCTGGCTCAATGAACTGAAGCAGTTACAGTTATCAGAGAAGATGTAAATTGGTGTTTGTTGGAGTTACCAGAAAAGAGAGGCCTAGAAGGTGGGTAGGAATCAGGGAGGAAGGAAGAAGGCATATCTGTCGGGAACAGACTAAAACAAACGCTGCAGAAGTCAGGAGAGTGAGGCCAGCCTGACTAGGGGATATGCCAGGGAGGAGTGGGTGGCTGGGTCTTATTTAAACTCTTCAAAATCCTTTAAAAATACCCAGTTCCTACAACACGGTGACAGTAAGATAGCTCCCACTCACTGGCACTTTTGCTGTGCTAAGTGCTTTATATCCTTAATCTCCTCTAATTCTCACAACTGCCCTGTGAAAAGTAGTTCTTACTTATTTTCTTTCTTTCAGTGAGAAATTCAGCTCAGAGTTAAGTGACTTGCTCAAGCTCCCACTGCTAGTAACAGGCAGGGTAGGATTTGAAGCCAGATTTGTTGAACCCATTCTGGGGCTCAATGTAAGCAGAAACAGCCCACCACAAAGGCGTCGCTACAGGGGATGAGCCTCCATCATAAGCTCAAAGTTCTGGGAAAACCCGTCCTGGAAAGTCTTCCTTCAGGCCTCTTCGCTGTGAATGTGGAACAGGAGAGGCACCAACAGCAGTGACTTGTACTGGACACTTGATCTCAAGTTCCCCGCCCAGCAAGTTGGTGCCAGTGTCTTAGGCTAGTGGAAGTCACAGCTTTGACCCATTTAGTGCAGAAGCCCCACTGAGTTCTGGGGTGGCAGCAACAGGGCAGGGAAGCTGCCAGGCAGGGATGGAGCAAACAGCAGGCCCAGGCCTGTCAGTGCAGCGACGGGGTCACCTGCTTGTCTTTGCTTCGTCACTGGGCTCTCATGTCACTGGCCCTGGAAGAGGTACACGTGGTCTGACCACTGGCCATGCAGCGCAGTTTCCCACCATATCTGGTTTGAAACCCCATCTGAAATGAGGCTGGGTACAACGCTGGAAGCAATTACCAATCATTTCAAAAAAAAGTCACGCTCTTTCCCTTCCCTCCCTTTCTGATGATCAGATTCACACTTGCCTCTACCCCATACTCCTTCTGTCTACAATGGATTTGAAGCTGCCCCTGTGCGGCGTTGGCTGTTCCTGCTTCCAAGAGGTCCTGAACAGGAAAATGACTGCTGAATGATCTACACAAGACAAATGAAAACCTATGTGCACAAAAACCTATATGTGAGTGTTTATACCAGGTTTATTAATAATCTCTCAAAGCTGGAACATCCCAACGTCTTCCAACAGGTGAATAAATGACAAAATACTCCCCGGCAATAAAAAGTAATGAACTACTGATTCACACACCATAGATGAATCTCAAGTGCATTATGTTAACTGAAACAAATGAGACTCGAAAAGCTACATGCTGTACAATTCCATTTATATAACATTATAGAAAACAAAAAACAAAAAACTATAGGGTCAGGGAACAGACCAGTGGCTGCTTGGGGAGGGCTCACTACCAAAAATACACATATACTATACATATAAAGCAGTTATATAGGCTTTCAACTTATTGGTTCCCTTGTGTGTTTAAAATACAAATGAAATAAACTTGTACATTGCTGATTTCCCCTTCTCAGTCCCCCTCCCTCCCCAACATAAATAACACTACAAAGCTCAGGTGACCCTAGGAGTCTTTTGGGGGTGATAGAAGTTTTGTGTCTTGATTGTTAGGGAAGCTGCATGACTGTGTGCATTTGTCAAAACTCACAGAATTGTACACCAAAGAGTGCATTTCGTTGTATGTAAATTAAAAACAAATGTTGCTTTTTAGGAAAAACTAAATGCCATATTGTGGAGAAGTGGGTAGGCAGGGAACTACATTCTAGATACATGTTATTCAGTTACACTTTACTCAGTAACAAATGAGCTTGCTGTTCTCAAAATACATCTGATGAAACTGTTCGGAATTAATTGGAGTCTAGCTGCATAAAGGAAAGAGCACCCCCAGGTACATCTGATTGCTTACCTGCTTCTAAGAAATTACAGTCTGTGTCAGAATCAAATGCTGCCAAGTTCAGTGACACAATACTTGAGTGTCTGATAATATTCTAGGAAGTCTTCAGAAACCATATCCTCCATGGAATCCTGTGCTGGAGGGAATGCTCAACTTAGTACTGGAATGACTCTCCCCCAAGATCCTCCATGAAGCTTACTTGGATGAACTTTACGATCATTTGGTTAGTGCTCACTTGAGGGGATGTGACTTTGTGGCTTAGATTCTTCTTCCTTTTCAGGGAAGGTCAATTATATATCAAGCTCTGAACATCTGCTGTCTGCATCTTCCCGGTCACACACATCATGCATCTAAGTTCATCAACCATGAAACCTGGCGATGGACTGTTTCTCCCCTCACCTTGCCATTGTGGAAAGACAGGCAATGACAATCTAAGGATTGGGAAGATCAGATCCAGAGTCACAGACGGCTTCTGAGCTGTTACATTAGTCTGCTTCTAAAGAAAAACGACACTACAGGCTGATTTTGCTCATAAACAACTTTTATTTTTGTTCTCAGTACGTGCCCTTCAAGATTCCAGAATGTCTGGAGTTTCTGATTCTCCTGGGACCAAAGGGAGAAGCACTGTATGGAAACACTCAACCTTGGCTCATTCCTCTCACCTGAGGAGCTAAGTCCGAAGGCCTCGGAGAGAGGGAGCTGACACTCACACCTTATTCCAAGATGGGTAACACAGTGAACAAAGAATTAGTAAAACATAGACTCAGTCTATAGAGGGCTTCAAATATACACATTCTATATATATAAACCAGTTATATAGGATTTCAACTTATTGGTTCCCTTGTGTTTTGTAATTAAAATACAAATGATATAGATGTTGTACACTGCTGATTTCCCCTTCTCAGCCCCCCTCCCTCCCCAACATAAATAACATTACAAAGGTCAGGTGACCCTAAGAGTTTTTGCTGTTGTAGATATGTTGTTTTTAAAATCATTTTCCCCATCCTCCCCTGCAAACTACCTCTGAGAGTTTGTAAATAGCAGCATGGAACGGACTAGACTGGGGACAAGCATGGAGATCTAATGGGGAGAGCGCAGAACATTGCTTCTCATTGACTGGCACCAGATGGGCTTTTGCATTTCCATTGACAACAGAGGCTACAACAGGAAGCAGAGAATGTGCAATGCAGGTTCACCCTCCTCCAAAGGGGAGGAGGCTGGCTGGACCACTGAGAAAAGCCCTAAAGGCATCAAGGTTGTGGAAATAGAGCACAGCTCCAGAAATGTCTTGGCTCAGTATTTACATAGTATCTTTAAGCTGCATTTTCCTTTTAAGAAATTTGTGTTTCTGAAGATGCCTCTTCCAGGGATGGGTGGGGAAATAAAGAACTTAAAAACAAAACAAAAAATAACCAATTCCCACACTTTGAAAAGTTCTAAGTCTTATGCAGTTATCTTCACACACATCATTAAAAGTAGATACTGACACTGATTGGTTTCTGATTCTTTTTTTTTTTTTTTTAAGAGCATGAGAGAAAGAGAGGGCGAGGAAGGAGTGCACTAAGGAGAGCGCCGTCCCTTCTTCAGCATTAAGTGACACTGGATGGTCTGGATTCGGTTCTTTGCTGGGACAAACTCAGGCTGCAGCTTCAAGGTGGATTCATACCACACCAGTGCTTTTTCAAACTCTTCCTGTGGGGGGGACAAGGGACAAATGTGAGCAGGATGATGCTACCAGACTGAATATATACTGTGACCTCTTATTTCTCGAAGAGCACCTCTGTCCCCAAAGGCTAGTGACAATCCTGCAGTATTTCTCAATGGATCTAAATCTCTGAGGAAAACGCTGAGGTCTGAGAGGAAACAATTACCTCCATCCCCAAGATTTAATGTCACAGAGAAAACTATGGGCAGAGCTGAAGAACCAAAGGAAAGGAACAGATTAACTTTTATAAAGGTTTGACTCAACAACAGGAATAATCATGGTAGTAATAAATAAGAACTAACATTACCGAGAACCTACTGTGTGCCAGGCACTGTGTTAGGTGCTTAACAAAACAGTTTATTTAATCCTCACAGAAAACTCTAGAGCCATGCCTGGCAAATGCTCATGACACACCTGCCTAAATTTTCTACTGTAGCTAGACAGATGGAAGTGACTTGTAAATTCTGAAAGACATTTTCCTGTTCCTAGCATTTAAAAACATCAACATGGTTTGGAAAGGATCGGTGCCATACTGGACATGTTAATCTCTTATTCTAGACTAGTACTCTCAAAGAAGAGCCCAAACTAACTAGTGCAATGACTCCTTCTAGCCAAATGAGACGAAATTCCTCATTCACAGTAGTAAATTTCACATTTATTGGGGAAAAAAATAGATTCTTCAATTTTAAGAAGCAGGGAGGGTAATCTGCATATTCAGTAATACCCACCTGGCCAGATTATACTTCCTGTCTTTGAAGTCAAAGATGACATGTGGAGATTATAACCTGGGGCTCCTCATTCTATGAACCTTTATTGAGAGTTATCTTGGGAATAGGCACATGGGTGATACCATGCTTTAGATGAAAGTAAATGGCATGATTCTTGCTTACAATTGGTTGTGACAGCTTCTAGGTGACCCCTGGGATTTTAAGTTCTGAAATCAGTTCTTGTTTCTGGCCAGAATGAGGGTTCTAGGTGATGGCTTTGCCATTTTCTCTGTAAATGGTATCCCATGAATCTAGTGGCTTGCCATCATTCATTAAACATTTGGTGAGCGCCTACTATGTGCCAACCACTGTGTGAGGTGCTGAGAACAGGGAGATGAAGAGGAGTCTTCTCCCTAAGGAGCTCAAAGGCTAGAGGGAGAGATAAATTCTTAAACAAAAAATTATAAAACAAAGTAAAAATATAGCAAGAGAAATACACACAGGGCATCATGAGGGCACTGATGATAGGTACCTAGCCCAACTTGGAAGTAAGAAAGCATGGATGTGTGTATGTGGATGAGTTAGGTGAGGTTTTCTGGGGCTGGTGATATCTCCAGAAAATTGCTGTAAATTTGACTCTATCGACAGTGTTAAAGTCATGGTCAGGAATTCCATGGCTGCAAATACTGATAATTTTCATGTACTTTTTCTTTCTTTCATCCTCCCCCCGTATTTTTCTAAGTCCCCATTCCCTCTTCCCCCAGACCCTCATGTATTATTTAAAAAAAACCCTCAAACCCCTTATCTATAAAATATACCCTTGGTGGAGCTTGCAATTTTAGACACAAAACTTACAGGACCTGGAGGGAAACTGACTTATTTAAGAAAGATCTGAAGTCAAGGAGGATGCACCACTGAGAGAAAAGTGCAGAGTGGTATTCTCTGCTCACACCCAGTCTCACCATTGCTACGTAGACATTGCCCAGCGTGAAGTGGTTCACGGCAAAGTGTGGTGCGATCTCCACTGCCATGGTGGCTACTATGACGGCATCGTTCCAAAGCTTGGCATTGTGCAAGATGTTGGCCAGGCTGATCAGGGGCACGTCCTGGGAGAGGGAAGGAGAATGGACAGAAGGGAAGAATAATACAAACGTGTTGAGTTTTCATCCTTGGGTTTTGTGATCATGAATAATGCAATAGGTGTTTGCTGTTAAATCATACAATGGTGCAAATCAAAATGCTCTCTCTGACAGATAAGGAACTCGGACCAGGATATAAATTAACGCATTACTGAGAAAGTCTTTCCTCCAAAAACAAACAAAAACTTCAGATGAAGTAAACAATGTGTTGAGTGATGTAGCTGATGCACATTCTGGTGCCAGCTCCTTGTCTCACTAAAGACTGGCAATCAAAAGTCTGTGGACAAGCACCACACTTTGAGAAGCCCTGTCACAGAATCAGGGTACTCTGGCAGGAGCACTGCATCATCCACAGCAGGAATTAGCAAACTACAGCTCATGGGCCAAACACAGCCTATTGCCTGTTTTTGTAAAGTTTTATTGGAACACAGCCATGTCTATTCATTAATGTACTGTCTGTGGCTGCTTTTGTGCTACAATGGCAGAATTGAGTAGTTGCAACAGAAAGCACCTGGCCTACAGAGCCTGAAGTATTTACAATCTGGCCCTCTAAAGAAAAAGTTTGCCAACCCCTCATCTAGAAAGAGTCTCTTGGTCTCTCCCTATCACCCAGAAGCATGGAGCACAGAAAGATGGACTGAACAAGTAGCAACATTATTGTCATCACAAATATTTATTCCCTTTAAGTGAGCTGCCTGAGTATCTGCTGCCTATATAAGACTGTACTGGGTTCTATAGGAGATACAGAAGCAGCAGGAAAAAAGGACTCATCTTTGTCCTAACTGGGCATCCATAGAGTGCATGTCATTAGATGAGGTAATAGAGGTTCAATCACTTGCCTCAGGTCACAAAGCTAGTAAGAAGCAGAGCTCTGTTTAGAACTCACAATGTCTGACAGCAAAGCCTGAGCTCCTTCCATTGTTTCAATGCTGCCTGTGTGAACAGGGCAAGTTCGAGATCTGTATCAATGCAAAACTCAGCACATGTGCATACAAATGGCTGTTAAAAACTGTACATGCTTAGCCATCATAACAGTAACTGACTTTTGGGAAAAGATTGATGATCCACAGTGTTAGTTGAGTATGTTTTTTTTCTTTTTTATGAAAAAGGTGGAGTCAGACAAAGACCAAGAACTGGCCAATGTATATGAAGAAATGGAAATTTGCTTTCTGACTTCTGTCTCTGTGCCTAGAAGGAAGCTCAAGTCAGGGCTGTAAGCCAAACAAGTACAACAGGCCTCCATCCCCTGAGGATAAGCTAAACCCAGAATGACTTTAGAGTGATGATCAGCTTAGGCCAGTGGATTTGCTGCATATCAGGTGCCTCTGAATACAGTGGAAGGGGTTTGAAATGATGTAATGTCTTACAATAACCAAGAATACCTTCTCCCATGTTCCAGCATGCTGAGGTTGGGAAGGCATGACAGTGGGTAGCATTCACAGGCTTCTTGCGGCACAAGCTGGGTTAGGGTTAGGGTTAGAGTTTCCCTGCCCCATCCGACTTCCTTTCACTACTCCTTATTGGCTGAGTGTGAGGAAGGCTAGTTAAAACTCCAAAATAAACCACTGGGCAATGGAAAGGACCAAGGGACAGAAATTCACACCGTCTGAGGAACACTCACCTTCATTTGGTGTGGAGCGTAGTGGAGAGCCTGACGGAGGCAGTCAACTGCCTTCTTTCCTTGACCCTTCACTCTCCAGTAGAGGGCTGCCATGCTAGAAAGCACCCAGGAGGTCTGGTTCTGCAAAGGAATTGTCAGCTAAGGCTGTGTTTATTAAGTAACATACTAATTAACTAACAAGAATGAGAAAAGTAACCACAGCAACATTCACTTAACTGAGTACTTGCTTGGTGCCAGCACTCTGCTAAGCATTTATGTTCATCCTGTCACTAATCCTCCAAACAACCCTATAAGCTCAGTACTACCATTACAGCCTTTTTATAAAATGAGACGACAATTCAGAGGTTAAGTATCTTGCCCAAAGCCACCAAACTACTAAATGGCAGAATTAATGTTTAATGTCCACATTCCTCTTTTTACATTGAAGTTTATGTAACTTTTTAAGCAGGTAACTCTTCACATGTTTCAAAAATCAGAAAGTATACAAAGTTGTACAGTGAAAAGTGCCCCCATCCTTATCTCCACTGTATAAACACTATTTTTAGTTTCTTATGTATCCTTTCAGAATTTCTTTATGCTTTACACAAGCAAATATGAATAGACTGTTATGCTTCACCCCCTTTTAAATGACATAACCATTTTTTATATAAGAGGTAACACTCATGCATTTGGTTTTTTTTTGCTAAACAGTATACTCTGGAGTTCTTCCTACATCAGTGTATAAACAGCTTCTTCGTTCTTTTGTTTTTTTAACAACTGCACAATTTTGCACTCTGTGGATACACCATTAACTAGATTGCTATTGATGGCTATTTCTCCCTACCCCCACCAGTTTTTATGGTAACAAACAATGCTGCAAAAAACCCTTGCATAAGTGTACATATATGTGCAAGTGTGTTTGTAGCACACCTTTCCAGATGTGGACATGCAATGCCAAAAAAAAAACAAAAAACAAAACCCATTGCTATCGAGTCAATTCCAACTCATAGCGACCCTACAGGACAGAGTAGAACTACCCCATAGGGTTTCCAAGGAGTGCCTGGTGGATTCGAATTGCCAACTTTTTGGTTAGCAGCTGAACTCTTAACCACTGTGCCACCAGGGTTTCTCCATGCTACGTCAAGGGGATACATACTTGTCATTTTGACAGATAGTGTCACTTTGCCCACCACAGAATTTTTTTTTTTTAAGGAAACAAATGGTCTATATAGTAGCCACACCTCACACTCATAATAGTACTGTCATGGTTTGGGGATCATTTTGCAAAGAAAAAAAAAAAAGTCTTGGGTGATCATAGGTCAATGCAAACTTATTAAGCCAGGTTTTAATCTCTCTCTCAAATTCACTCAAAAAAAATTTTTTTTACAGACCAGGAAAGATTATTAATTTATTCTTTAGTATTTGAAGGAAAGTACTTGCTGGTTTTATTATTTTTTAATTTTTTAAAAAGTATTTTATTGTGACTTTGGAGAAAATTTACATAGAAAATTAGGTTCTTATTTGACAATTAATAACGTATTATTCAATGGCATTGGTTACACTTTTCACAATGTGTCAGCGTGCTCATTATTTCTATTCTGGTTGTTCTGTTTCCATTAATTTAGCTTCCTCATCTCCCCTTACCTTCTCATCTTTGGTCTAGGGTAAATGTTGACCACTAGGTCTCATTTAGACGACTGTTTAGAGGAGCACAGTACAGGTGATATTATTTATTTCATGAGCCACTCTGTCTGTTGGCTGATAGGTGACTTCCAGGAGTGGTTTGAGTTCCAAGTTTAAAGGGTATCCCAGGGTGATAGTCTTGGGGGTTCCTCTAGTCTCTACCAGTCCAGTAAGTCTGGCCTTTTTTAGGAATTTGAGTTTTGTTCTACATTTTTTCCCCATTCTATCTGGGATCATCTACTGTGTCCCTGGTTGGAACGGTTGGTAGTGGTAGCAGGGTACCATCTAGTTTTTCTGGTTTCAAGGTAGGTGAGGCCATGGTTTGTGTATACTACTAGTCCTATAGATCAGTTTCTTCTTTCAGTCTTTGGTTTCCTTCTTTCTGTTTTGCTCCAGATGCACAGAGACCAGGAGTTGTATCTTGGATGGCTGCTTGCAAGCTTTTAAGACCCCAGATGCTATTCACCAAACTAGGATGTAAAACATTATCTTTATGAGCTATGTTCTGCCTATTGACTGAGGTGCCCCCTGAGATGCCCACCATAGGATTTTAACACTTTAATCTTCCCCCCCAGAAATATATGAGAGTTCATGTTTCCTTATAGCCTCATAACAGAGTGTGTTATTAAACTCTTGGACCTTTGTCAACCTGATAGTGAAAAATGTGGTTTTAATTTGCACTTCCCTTATTATAAGTGCAGCTTATTTCTTTTCTGTGAAGTATCTGTTCTTATATTTTGTTCCATTTTCTATGAGGTCTTTATTAGGGGGATTGGTCCCTTGTCTGTGACAATGGATTGCAGAGACTCCTTCCCAGTTTGAAGTTGGGCTTTGGAATTATGGTGCTTTGTGTGATGCAAAAGATTTTGATTTCCATATGGTACAGTTTATTAATTTATCTCCAATAGTTTCAGGAGTTTCAGTCATAGTCAGAAAGGCCTTCCTCACCCCAATGTTATCAAGGAATGTTACCATGTCTTTTTGCAGAACTTTTACACATTTTTCATATTAAAATCTTTGCTCCATCTGAAATTTAACCTGGTATAAAGTAAAAGATATGAATCCAACTTTTTTTTTTCCAGATGGCTACTCTTGTCTCAATAATATGTAATGAATAGTTCATCTTTCCCCAATGAAACACTACCTTCACCATATACAAAATTCCAATATTTAATTTAAGTCTAATTGTGGACTTTGCCATGTATTACATTTATAACTTGATTGACGGTCTCTGACTTGAAGCCATTACAGATGAGTCAATCTGCTTCCCATCTTCTTTCTTTCCTCCAATCTCATTTTTGGCTAGTTTTATCAATTATACAATGTCAGGGCATACTGTATTATTATTCTGATCTGTCACCCCGCCTTTTAGAATTGGCTCTACAGCTCAATATATTCAGTGATCACTGATACTACTTTTGTGTGGTGTCTCTAATCACCTCCTGGTTGGCTGAAGTTCATCACCTAGTAGTTTCCTCAAGTAGGGCTCATGGGAACAGTATTCCTTCAGACTATGTATGGACAAAACTGTGTATGTGCAGCCTTCATACCTGAAGGACAGCTTGGATGAATATAAAACTATGGATCATTCTTTTTTTCCTGAATAATATGTCGGTATTGCTCCACTGCCTCTTGGCATAGAAGGCTGTTGCACAGAAATCTGAAGCTAGTCTGATATACTCCTCCTTAGTGACTTGATCCCTTTGACTGGGTTTATGAAATAATTCTTTTCTTTTGTTTTTATAAAATTATCTTCTCTAAGAAGCCCTTGTGGCACAAATGGTTGAGTGCTTGGCTGCTAACCGAAAGGTTGGTGCTTTGAACCCACCCAGTGGCTCTGTGGAAGGGAGACCTGGCCATTGCTCCTTTAAAGATTACAGCCTAGAAAATACTATGGGGCACTTGTGCTCTGTCACATGGGGTCACTATGAGTTGAAATCAACTTGACTGCTCCTAACAACAACAAGCATAAATTTAGAATTGGCATATCTTTCTGGTAAACTGAACCTTCTGTCATTATGTAGTCATCTTCTCTGTGTCTAATAATTTTTTGTGTTTTGAAATATATCTTGTAAGGTAATTAATATAACTATACCTACTTCCTTTTGGTTAATGTTTTTCTGGTATATCTCTTCCTATATTTTCAAATTTTCTATTATGCTTCAGGTATAACTATTATAAAAAAACATGTAGGTATGTTTTAGAATTTACAGTGTAACATTATTGTGACTGTTATATTAGAGACTGCTTGGAAGCTTGTCTATCTTATTTCTTGGTTTCTATTTATCTCTGCTGTTACACTGGAAATTCGAAAATGGACCTGCTATGTCAAATAACAGCAGAGTCACCCATGGTGGACAAGTTTCAGTGGAGCTTCCAGCCTAAGACAGATTAGGAAGAAAGGCCTGGCAGTCTACTTCTGAAAAAACTGGCTAGAGAAAACCTTATGAATAGCAGTGGAACACTGTCTGATACAGTGCTGGAAGATGACTCCCTCAGGGTGGAAGGCACTCAAAATATGACTGGGGAAGAGCTGCCTCCTGAAAGAAGAGCTGACCTTAATGACGTGGATGGAGTTTCCAGCTTTTGGGACCTGGATATGCTGATGTGGCATGACTCAAAATGAGCAGAAACACCTGCAAACATCCATTAAAAGTCAGAATGTGGAATACACGAAGTATGAATTTAGGAAAATTGGAAGTCATCAAAAATGAAATGGAATGCATAAAGATTGATATCCTAGGCATTAGTGAGCTGAAATGGACTGGTATCGGCCATTCTGAATCAGATAATCACATGGTCTGCTTTGCTGGAAATGACAACTTGAAGAAGAATGGCGTTGCAGTCATCGACAGAAAGAACATTTCAAGATCTATGCTGAAGTACAATGCTGTCAGTGACAGGATAATATCCGTATGTCTACAAGAAAGACCAGTTAACGTGACTATTACTCAAATTTACCTACCGACCACTAAGGCCAAAGATGAAGAAATTGAAGATTTTTACCAACTTCTGCAGTCGGAAATTGAGCAAACATGTAATAAAGATGCATTGATTATTACTGCTGATTGGAACGTGAAAGTTGGAAAAAAAGGAGAAGGATCAGTAGCTGGAAAATATGGGCTTGGTGATAGAAACAACACTGGAGATCACATGATAGAATTTTCCAAGACCGACGACTTCATCGCATATACTGTTTTTCAACAACATAAACGGCGACTACACATGTGGATCTTGCCAGACGGAATACACAGGAATCAAATCAACTACATCTGTGGAAAAAGACGATGGGGAAGCTCAAAATCATCAGTCAGAACGAGGCCAGGAATCGACTGTGGAACAAATCAATTGCTCATGCACAACTTCAAGTTGAGGCTGAAGAAAATTAAAGCGAGTCCATGAGAGACAAAATATTACCTTGAGTATATCCTACCTGAATTTAGAGACCAATTCAAAAATAGATTTGATGCACTGAA